AAAAGAGTTCTTAGTAAAAAAGAATATTTGTTTCCCTAAATTATTTCAAGAATGCTGCAATTTCATTTTATTCCTCTTGCAGATTAGAGCACGAACAAGATATGAGTTTCAGATACCTGCCAAGTATCTGGGCTCTAAGGGTGAGCTAATTGTCTGGTATTCCTCTGAGTGTTTATTGGATCCTTGCCATCCCCTGTACCAGACACTGAGGATCCAGATAATAAGACAATTCCAGACTTTAGATAGAGCTATCGTCTAGCAGAAAAAAGTAAGACTGAGACCCGGAAGTCTGAACCAACCTCTTCCTGCTTCCTCCCAGAAAACAGTGGGAACGCAGAGTCACCTGGACCAGGAAGCTGCCAGATGTCTACAGATGTGTACAGCAAACCCTTCGCAAACCTCCCTCTGGCTCAGCCTCATCTCCTGTCACTCTCCCGGAACTCCAGACAAAATGTAACTTCGAGTTCTCCCCATCTCATAGCTGGGTGCATGCTGTTCTCTCTTCCAGGAATGCCATCTCTCACCCCAGAGTTAGGTCATTTCTTTTCCAAACACATCTCTGCTGAGAAACCATCTTGTCAGTTAGACCCATCTTTTGCTGCTGCTCTGAACACCTCCCGTGGTCCTCTCTTCAACATCTCACCCTACTGTACTCGTCTCTGCTCCTAATCCGTGAGTTACTCACAGGGAGAGAGTTGTTCTTGTTCATCCTGGTATTCCTTAATTACCAAATTTTAGTTGACTGAATAAAAATTGACTCCAAGAAGAATTAGTCTGAGATGAGAGAAAAGAAGGTTCCCATGGTGGAAGACAATGACAAATCAATAACCAAGTCTACAACAAACAAATGTATGATTTAGGAAGAACTTGTGTATGTGACCTGGCCCCAGCTTGCCACTTGGCCTCTTAGAATAACTGCCTTGTTTCTAGTTCAGAACCTCAAGGCAATGTGCAAGTAGATGGCTAGAAAGAGGCTGTTCTCTTTTACAAATGTATCATCTTGGAATTTTAACAAGTAGCATAGAGTAAAAATATGACCTTGAGGAAGTTTCCAAAGCACTAATACTAATGCTTTCTGCTGCTGTATGTCAGTGTTTTTCAGACTGCAATTGTGACTCATTCCTGGTTTGTGACCAGTTTTTATTTTTATTTTTTTGTTTAAACAAAAAGAATAAAATACAAAGAGAGAATGTCAAGGTATGCTTCCTATATTAATGCTTCATAAAACTTTTGTTTTAGTTGCATAGGTATCAACTCTTCAGCAAATCCCTCATTAATGGGACTTGTCCATATCACCGATGGGTTATTCTAAATGGTTCCAAATTTTCTAATTCATTTTCTGAGTCCAATATATCACCAATTTTGGATTCAGTTTTCTGTGCCCAATGTATTTTATTCTCTAAAATGTTCTGAGTCCTTCCTCTGCCTCACTTCTACCGTGTTTCCCAGAAAATAAGACCTACCTGTAAAATAAGTCCTAGCAGGATTTCTAAGCATTCGTGCAATAGAAGCCCTACCCCAAAAATAAGACCTAGTGATGGGCGTGGCTACGCAGCATGTCTGAACAACCCATGCATTTGGTGGTGGAGCGGTAAAGAAGAAGAGCAGCCCTTCTCATCTGCCCCATCGTGACAGCTACTATCCCAGAGGTGACCAGAAAGGTGTGGGCAGCCCCACCAACAAGGTTGGCTCCCCCTGTCATGTCCCGGCCATTGTGTGCGTGCTGTAAGGGGAAAATAACAAAGGGCTTTGAGGGGAAAATAACAAATCCCCTGAAAGTAAGCCCTAGGGTGTCTTCTTGAGGAAAAATAAATATAAGACCCAGTCTCATTTTCAGGAAAACATGGTACCTATCCCCCAATCTTCTCCAGTTTGGTAGGTGGGAGTTGATGGAGCAATGGCGGGTAATAGATGAATGGGTAATAACGGAAGCTTGTGGTTGGTTGTACTCAACTATTTTTCTAAGGTGATCTATTTGTCAACGTGTTGCTTCAAAATACTCTCTTCCTGAAGACCACAAACTGTGTGTTATGTAACTTCTACTGAAAAGACTAGAGTAACAGACAATGAAGTCTGCCTTCAAACACACCTGACTATCAGTAGGCAGGAATTACTACTGTTTGTTTTTGAATTTGACTTTTCATGGGAGTTGAGGATCTCAAGAATTTAAGAAATAAAAATCTTTAAAATAGAAAATTTGAAGATTATTATTTTACTTGTTTTCTTTTCCTTTTTGCTTGATTTTCCCTCTCCACTTCATCACTTTTATCCTGAATGACCCAATGGTAACAGCCTAGTATATATTTTTCTCTACTTTTTTATGTTCTGATAATTATATAGAAGCATAAATGTACTCATAGACATACACAGAGGGAGTCTGTCATCATTAGTTTTAAACAAGACTATATTACACAAGCTTTATATTTTGTTTTTCTCATCCAAGAATACTTTTTTGAGAATATTTCTACATAAACTGGCTTACTTTTGAGCTTTTTGTAATGGCCACATAATATTTTATAATGTTAAAGGACCATATTTTATTCAACTTTTCCCCTCTGTAGGGCATTCATTTTGTTTCCAGTTTTGTGTCACTAAAAACAGAGCTGTAACAACATCTCTGTATATAAATCTTCATACACTAGGGCTTTTATTTCTGTGGGATAGATTCCCAGGAAAGATATGACTGGGTTGAAGGATACATACATTTTTTATTTTAATAGATGTGGCCAGATTCCTTTCCCAAAAGACTAAAACAATCCCTATTTCTGCCAAAAATATGAGTACCCATCCCCACTGGCAATAAATATTATTGCTCATTAATTTTTGGCAGCCTGAAGAAAATAAAATAAAGTTACAGTGTTGTTTTACTTTGTATTTCCCTGACTACTTATGAATTTGTTCATCTCTTCATATGCTTGTTAGCATTTGTATTTGCTACCGCGTGAATTGTCTATTCACGTCCTTTATTCATCTTTGAAAATTGCATCATTTGTTTTTTCCTTGACAGTCTTTGGGAGCTCTTCAATATTTCATATCAACTCTTTGTCATCTAAATTACAAACTTTGAAATATATTGTTTGTCTTTTATCATTTTTAATGAAGTCTTTTGCCAGACAAAAGATTTTGTTTTTTATACAGCCAAACATCTCTGTTTTCTTACATAGCTTCGGGAGTTTCAGTCTTTGTAAAATGGCCTCCCCACTTCTAGATTGTACGTGCATGTAGTATTATAGATTTTCTTGCAAGCGCTTTTATTATTTTGTTTTTAACATTGAAGTATTTAATCCATCTGTTCATTTCTATAGAATGTGTAAGGTAGAAGACAAATTTTATTCTCTTCCAGATGGGTAGACAGATGTGGCAGTGTGATTCATTAAACATTCCATCCTCCTTTTCCCAATGAATTAAACTTCAAATTAGCCATATAGTATATTCTCACATTGACTGAGATCCATTTTCTTGAGTCTATACTGTCCCGCTGAGCTATTTATCTATTTCTCTATTAATACCATCTTAAAACAAGGGTTTTACTGTTTTGATATGTGATAGGGCATATCATCCCTCATTGTTATCAAACTGTCCCTTGTTGTGTTCAGACATTTATTCTTCCACTATAAACCATATCGTTTATCAATGACTTCTCCCCTGAACTTCAAATCTTAACCTTAACCCTAACTTCACTATCTTCTTGACATGTTGGCTTGGATGTCTAAGGGACATCTCAATTTAACAAGTCCAAAACAAAACTGCATTTCCCCCAAAAAAACTTATCCTTCTACTCTCTTTCCTATCTCAGCACCACCAAACACTAAATCAATTGCCTTTTTGCCCTACCTCTCCATATAATCTTGGTAATTAAGGACTCCTCCTTTAAGCCAACACGTGCTAAATTTGTTTTCGAACCGCTGGACGCAGCTACCAGCATTCCCACTAAGCAGCACATTTAATCTCTGTGAATGGGGATTCCTGGATGGTCTCTTGCTATGTCCCACATGGCTGCCCAGGTATCTTCGTTCCTATTTTTGCTGCCACCACTTCTGACAAAGCCACCAGCATCTCTAACCTGAACTAAAGCAATAGCTTTGTCACCAGTCTTCCTGCTTCCACTCTTGACCCTCTAAAATCCACCACCCCCACTCCCCCACCCACCCCCTGCTACAGTTTAGGACAGTCAGAATGAGCTTTTAAAATCCCAAACATAATCCTTAATTCCTAGATTAAAATCATCCCATGGATTTCCATCAGAGAATAAAAAAAAAAACAAAAAAACTCCTTATTCTAGACCATGAGAACCTATATGACAGGGCCATTGCCTACTTCTCTAACTTCATGTGCCAACATTCTCCCTCTCATTCAAATATACTCCAGTCACACTTGAACATTTTTTTTTCTTTGAATATCTCTCAAGGTCTTTGCACTGTCTGCTCCTCTGTCTGAATCACCCTTCCTCCAGACAGTGAAATATTTGGTTTTTACTTGTCATATAGGTCTCAACATAAAAGTGACTTCTTAGTGATTTACTAAGTGTGAGCTTCCCTGACCACTTGGCCCAAAGTAGCCATTCCTTTCTGCCCCTACTCACTGATAGCGTTATCATACTCTTGCATTTTCACTGTAGCATTTATCACTACATGATTCCTCTTGTTCTTTTTTTCTTTATTTATCATCTTCCCCCACCAGAAAAAGAAGGTAATTTCCATGAGTGGAGAGATCGGAATTGTCTTATTCACTAGTGTATCCCTAGGGGCCTAGGTCAGAAGGGGCCACATCATCTTCACGTTGTATCACCAAACTCAGTGCAGTTCCCATTCTCAAAGGTAAGTCTTGGAAACATTAGTAATACAGGATTTGTAATTTTACATTTGCCTGTTTTATGCTACATTATGTAATAGCAAGGACAACAAAACACCCCCTAGGACCCTGGTTTGTGGAGATAAGACCCTGCCTGTGTTTGCCAGGACAAGTTGATTGCAAGCAACAGAGACTGAATATAAACTGACTTAAGTTAAAAATAGAATGTATTGGATCTTGGGACTGACACGTTCAGGGATAGTCTTAGCTTTTAAGCTTTGCTGAATTCAGGTGCTCAAGTGATATCAGAAGGAAGCCATCTCGTTCTCAATAAGCATTTGGTGAATTAGTAAATGAATAATACCTACCTCATTGGACTGTTGTGAAGATGAAAAGAGATAATATATCTAAAGCCTTTAGGTCCTTGCCTGGAGCTAATAAACACTCTGTAGGAGTGGATAGTATTATCGCTTTTGTTACTCTTACCATCACTGTCACCAAAAACTCCATTTTCAACACAACAGACACATTTATTACTGCTGTACTGTGGGAGAAGGAGGGAGAGTCCACACTTTGCACAATCGCTTGGAATCATTCCGACCATCTGGGAACAACAGCAGCCGGAAATCGTGTTCTGAGGCTTCCCAGCCGGGATAGAAAAAAAGTAGACAAACACCTTGCATGGCCTGTCTGGGATTTAGCCATTGAGTACTATTGAAAATAATTGTTAATTGTAAATACCTAAATCAAATTATACATTTTTTAAAAGGTCATTACGAATGGAGCAAACATCAGAGGATACTCCAAGTTCTCCTCTCCTAAGCACTATGTACACTCAGCATGTTCCTTCACGATTTTAAGATATGTAAGCTTGGTAAATACCAGCTGGAAATATAGAGTTGAAGAGTAAACATGCAGTTGCCTTCTAACTTCATAAGGGTCTGAGTCACTCCTTGATGGCCATTAGACACTTATGGAAGCCCACCCTTTCCCTTGTAATGTCATTGTGGTGGATGGCTGGAAATTCTTGGACACACCTTCGTTTGTGAGGTGAAGCTGGGCTTCAAGAGAAGGGAACGTAGAAGCTAGGTGGCTGTTTTGACTGATGGGCTATCGTGAAAATGACGCTGGTGTCAGTTTCCAAGTCCAGGCCTTAAGAGACTAGCAACTTCCATTTCCTCTCTCTTGGACGTCCTAAAAGACCCGTCACTCTGCATCTCCTACCTGGGCTTTGCTCTGAGCTCTCGTCTCAGGTGGGTCTCTCCCAGCGTGATGGCAAGATGGCTGCTAGGAACCCCACGCTTATCCGTATCTACCGGCAACCTCAGCAGAAAGAGAACTCCCCCTTCCCAATATTCCAGCAAAAATCCCAAGACTGACTCTGACTAACTGAGCTTTGTCAGTGCCCCTCCCTGAACTGATTCACTGTGGCCAGGCAAACAGAACGCTCTGACTGACTGGGCCACCATCATATCTCCACCCCGCAAGGGTGAAATTAATTTTTAAAAAATTTTTTTTGAGGCAGAGTCTCGCTTTGTTGCTCAGGCTACAGTGAGTGCCATGGCGTCAGCCTGGCTCACAGCAACCTCAAACTCCTGGGCTCAAGCGATCCTGCTGCCTCAGCCTCCCGAGTAGCTGGGACTACAGGCGTGTGCTACCATGCCCGGCTACTTTTTCTATATATATATTAGTTGGCCAATTAATTTCTTTCTATTTATAGTAGAGACGGGGTCTCGCTCTTGCTCAGGCTGGTTTCGAACTCCTGAGCTCAAAGGATCCGCCCGCCTCGGCCTCCCAGAGAGCTAGGATTACAGGCTTGAGCCACTGCGCCCGGCCATGAAATTAATTTTTAATAATGAATTTTATTTAACCCAATATATTCAAAATATTATCACTTGTTCAAAATTAAAATTACTAATGAATTTTTTATTCAGATTAAGCATCAAGCTCCAGTGTGTATTTTGTGCTGTCTGCCACCTCCTTTTGGACTGGCCACAGGTCAAGTGCTTGACAGTCACATCCTATTGGGCTGGGCGACTCAAAAAGAATGGAATGGAATAGAATAGAACAGGAATAAACTGTAACTTGGAACAAGGAAGGAAGGAGGACTGACTTCCTGTGGCTCTGGGGCCCAGAAGTTGATACGTTTCCCCTGAGAGAGACAGAGAGGCGGGCAGTGCAGCAGCAAACGCCTCAAGGCAGGGCTGTGGGGACCTGGCAGGGCCAACAGGCTGAAACACAGGACTTAGAGAAAGGAATCTGGGCCTCTGGGCAGACGCCTTGACCCCAGATGGGTTGCAAGAAGGACCCCATATAGAAACCAGCGTGGGGCAGATGACAGCCTCGGGCCACACCTCATCATGCCCTCTATCGTCTTAACTTCCTTTGGAACTTAGGCAAAAGGGAAGACATGAGAGACCATGGATTGACTGAAAATGATCTGATTTGATGACATTTACCCTGCATTGACTTGTTTGTAGAGGGAGTCTCAAGAAAGAAATTCAGTTTGAATATACAAAATAAAATTACACATATTACACATCTGAGGTTGCTGGTCTGAAAATATTCCCCAAACCAAGTCTCAAAACCCCTGTTTTCTGGGCAAATAGAGCCACACTCCTTTCTCCTGCAGGCAGGGAAAGTTGACAGTGGTTCTCAACCGCCTCCCTGGGGACATTTGGCAATACCTGGAGACATTTTTGGTTGTTACAACTAGGGAGGAGAGTGCCACTGGCATGGATGGGGTAGAGACCAGGGCCAGACTAAACATCCCACAATGCACAGGACGAAGGCTTATCCCAGCCCCGGATGTCACCAGCACTGGGGTTGTGTAACTCTGGACTCAGCCAACTTGAGGTTCTTGAGGAGAATGTGGAGAAAGGAAAAGCAAGTTTGTTTCTTGCTATGTTGAAGTAAACCTATCAGAAAAGGGAAGGCCCGGCCTCGAGGCCGCTTATAACGCAGTTTCTATGGTGCTGACGGAATTGAGTCCTGTCTCAAAGTAGCAACTGTGGGGACAAACTATGGTCTGAGCCTGACCCCAAGGCTGTGGCCCCACGGGGCCTCCCTTCTTTCTCTCCTCATCCCCATCCTCCCTCTGGTCTTCCCCCCAACACTCTCCTCAAAGGAAGTCCCCCCCCATGCTGAGGGGGGTGCTGAGGCATTAAGTGGCCACTGAGCCTAACGATGCCTTTGCACCCTCAGCCCAACCAGAGGCCGAGCTCCCCGCTGCAGGTGCCACCACCCTAGTCTGGCCCCCACGGCGGCAGGCAAGTCGGGAGGCAGCTGTCGGGAATGAGGAGGCAGGCTGGACAGTTTAATATGCCTCTCTTCTCTCTCTGAGCCTTTGCTCACACTATGTTCTCCTCCAGAACAGGGCCTCTCAAACATCATCTAAGAATCGCTTGGAGAGCTGGTTAAAGCATCGATTCCCGGGCTGGACAGGAGAGATTCTGAGTCAGCTGGTCTGGGGCCCACGGTGACCATCACATCCCATTGTGCCTGGGATTTTCCCATTTTTGAAACCAGAAGCCCTGCACTCCCAGCAAACGCCGATGGTGAGCTCTACCTCTGTAGGTAGAGCCCAAGGTTTTGCGTTTCTAGAAGGCTCCCAGGTGGGGCTAGTGCTGCCGTCAGCAGAACGCACTCTGCCCCTGTGAAGCCTGTTCACTCCAAAAGGCCTGTCCATCTTGCCCACGCTCACTCGCAGGCTTAGTGCGAGTTAAATCACCCCCAGAATGGGTTCCTGATAATCCCTGCTTCCCCCTCCGGACGCTAGCAATCCTGGTAACACGTCACCCTGCAATGTGATATATTTGGGTGTTTTTTGGGTTTTTTTTTCATACAAAATATTTCACCTTTCCCTGAGGGCAGGAATCACATTTCCACATATTTCCCATTGCTGTGGGAATCCATGGCCCCAAACAGAGGGAAGGTACTGAATAGGTTTGTTGAACGAACACAGCTAACCGTTAGTGAGTACTTACCAGGTAACAGGTAATGTGCCAAGCACTCTACAGAACTTAACTCATGTAATCCTCACAACAGAACTGTGTGGTAGGTGCTGTTAATTCTCCATTTTACAGACAAGGAAACTAAAGTACAAAAAGGTTACATGTCTTATTCAGAGAACTGGAAGGTGATAGAAATGGGATTCTAACTTTATTCTTATATCAGAATACCCTTCTCCACTATGCTGCACTGCCTGCATGAATAAATGAATACGTAAATAAATCTGAATGCAGGTATCATTACCGTTCATTCAGGAAGTATTTCATTTTTTCACTGGAGTCCGTATGCCTCAACTGGTTTGTGTGGAGAGTATTTGACATCCTCTTCCTGGGAATAATGTTGGCTGTTTAATTATAACTTTAAATCTGCATTGAACACTGATTAATCACTGTAGCAATTTTCAGCCCAAGAAAAAGTAGGAGGAGATATTCCGAGTGAAAGACATGTTCATCTGCTCAACATCCCTTTGAGAGATATCTATCTCCCATTCTAGGAAAATCCAGTCCCAGCTGTGCGGTGCACAGGGGACAGACATTACTTCTGGCTGGCTGGATAAGCACATGACCTAGGATGGGCTTATCTGAAAACTCCATCTCTTCAACACAGAGATTGGTTCAAGAGCCAGCTGAACAGAATCCTTCCTGAAACTTCCTGGAGCGTCTGCAAGCATGCATTCCCCTTTCTTTAGGATGCCTACATTGAAATATGAAATAACTTGGGGCTGCTGGTGATCATCTCTGCAAATTTATGGAACAGTGTTACCCGAGTATGACACTGACTTAGATAAGCCACGAGAGGGAGAGAAAGAGACTCCCTGTCTCCTGGTTTGGTCCCCTGATTTGAAATCCGTACTTCCAGTTATTTGAGCAAGCAAGATTTTTGTTTGTTTAAGCCAGTGTAGACTGGATTTCTATCACTTGCAACCAAAAGAATCATTACTAATAGATCTGATTCATGAGAAATGAAGAGGTGGGTGTTCGTGGATAGAAAAAACTGAATACCCTGGGGTTTATTTATGATTATTTTACAATGCCCTGATATTTCAATGCCTACTTTGTTAAATTCTGTAAGATAGACTACTGTAAATGGCCATCTGATTCTTCCTACTCGGTCACAGGGATAAGCTGCACATGTATCAGGAAGTAGTTTTGCTCAATATAAACGAGCAAGTGGGTCTTCTGAGCGTTGGCATGGAGGTTGTGTTTTGGTCTGACTTTCTGCCAAAGCTTCTTCCCAGATGATCTTAATTGTGTCTTCACTTACTATGTAATCATCTATGGTCAGATAGATTTTCTTTTTTAAAATGCATGCATTAGTAAATGATTTAGGTGCAGCAAATTTATAAAATTTTCTGAATATGCAGCAGAATCTTTGTGTTAAACTTCTCCTGAAGTGGTTTTCATTATAAGCTGTCACTCCTTCATATGGCATCAGTTGATTAGTAAGAACCAACTTGTCAGAAAGCCTTGTACTGGTGTCAAGATCACTTAGTCAAATCTGAAAAATTAGAAGAAATAAGGGTGCTGCTAATAGGGTCGAACATTCTAGAACTCGCTTGGTAGAATCTGGAGAGCAGAGAGATCCTGGTGAATGATTACACAATCAAACTAAAAGACTTCTCTTCGGTCTGAGTATTTTTTTGTTTCTGTTCGGAGAATTATTTAAAAGAGTGACTTGGTTTCCCTCCAGCACTGTCTTTATTTTCTTTGGCTCTTTGTTCATTGTGTGTGTGATACTGTTGCATGGGACCCTGAAGTCACTAAGTGCCTTACGGGGAACTGGCTCCAAATAATCTGCTTGTCGGTGCAAAGAAGTCTGATGGGTGTAGTGACCCCACAGAGCATATGGGAGCTGAGAGGGCCAGGCACTGGCTGTCCCCCAGTAGCTTCCAACCAAGTCCAGGGGCATTTTTAATTGCAAATGATGAGTTTGGCTTCAAGGCTGTCTTGCAAACTACTCTGACCAATGCTGTCAGTCAGTCATACCTTTTTCCTTTCCTTCACAAATGTTTATTAGGATCTATAGCTGGGGTCATAGAAATGGGTAAGACTTGACCGCTTTCCCCATAGAACTTCCAGTCCTATCAGAGAGACAGGTCTGTTGATAAATTTACATATGGCACAGCCTAAAAGTGCTCTGATGTGTCCCACAGGCTCTGGGATCATGGAGGAGGGAAGCTCTTTGGGACAGAGAATATTTTCTCTATTAAATACATTTGCTTAGTGGGTATTCTAGTGGTATATAACCCTCTTCCTTGGATATGGTCATTTCTTGAAATACTTCTAAATAAAATTAAAAACCAATTTGTCAG